GAAACTTGCCAAACTGCTCCCTTTGTCTCTATGGAATGTGGCCAGTCATCACCGGCGCTTCAAAGCAAATTCCGCGCCAATTCAAATAAATGTCCCACAAATGGTTTGACGAAAATGGAAACATGAACAATCTGGGCTGGCCGGCTCGAGGAGTCTCATGTGATGTAAAAAGTTGGAAAAAGAGATATATGGATGGGACGCATCAGAGCTGCCCGTAAAAGCGTGTTATTACTTACATCCAGGAAATCGCAATTTTATCCAAATAAATGTTTCTACAACAATTATTTAAACCTCTGTAAAACATTCCCACACGAAAATCGCTGATAGAAGTTGTGTCGTTAGAAAGCATATGCTGAAAGCTTTTTAGAGGCTTCGCACCGCAATCCTTCGCGAAAACAGCTACTGCTACCCTTCTTAAAATGATATTGCACTGCCCCGTGAAAGAAACGCGCGCTTTGAGGGCTATGCTCCACGATTCCCTCATGATGTTTGTGCTTTCTTTTCATGACCGGCGATACACTTCAGTCCAAGCATGCGCTCCAAGAATGATTCGACTTATTTCACGTCGTTCCGTCTCACAAAGCGGGCTGACGTCATATCGTCACGGATTGCGGAGATATACGGATACCTGTTATGACGTGTGGTGCATCAATTACATTCCGTGGGCCGGATGGTCAGCGTCTCAAAGACGATATGTTTTTACTTGTTTCCTTCTATTTTCCCGCAGTGTACCTATTTAGAATACGTTTCTGTATCACTCCAGACTGTCCCTTTTTACAGTGATAAATGCGTCACACGATTTTTTGTCGCCAAAGGTAAATGTTGACCTATCCATCGAGGGCGATATATGTCATGCAGCCAAAGTTGGAAAGCAATTTTTGTGCCTAAAAAGCACCCCACGAGATCAACCGGGACACCAGCTGATCTGTGTTGCCGACCAGAGTTCCACGCCTTTTTGTTGGAGACGTGAAGACAAGGATACATGCTACAAGGCATGTCCATCCTGAACAGTAGCTTGAGAAGAACAACACAGAGCAGGGCCACAACACAAACACGGGTTGCACCGCAAGCACGGCTTTTGCTTATGGTATTTACTAAACCCGGCCTTAAAGACCCCCGAGGCACCCTGCCTGGGCAGAAGGCGCGCATGGCGCCGGGGTTGCGGACGGACCGTCCGCTCCTCTGACCGCGCGCGCCTCACCTCACCCCTAGCCGTGCAGCCGCCCGCCGACGGCGCGGCCGGGCCGCCGCCGCCGCGCGGGTCACGGCCGGGCGAGCGTGACCGGGCGGCTCATTGCGCGCGCCGGTCGGCCGGTTACGGCCGGTGACAGGGTCAATTTCCGCGGCCCTCCCGCTGGGCATTGTCGGCCTCTGGCCGCCGCCCGCCGCCCAGCTGGATCTGCTTCCATCGGCCAGCTCGGCTGGGGCCGACCCAAGCGCATACCCCCCGCGCGGGTGACCAAGGGCCTAAGATGGCTCGCAGAAGGGCGGAGCTCGGGCTGCTCCCCCCCCCCCCCCCCCCCCCCCACTCCGACAGCAGGTGATCTGTCGCGACGACGGAAATTCATGTGAGGCAAGGTGGTGACCTGTCACGAACTACCTTTTCTGATCAATAACGAGCGTTTGGTTTGGTACATTCATGCATAAAAGAGTACTGGTTAAGCAGAGTGTCACCTTCAGTTCGAAGTTTAGCTATGAGGCACTGTGCTGTTTTGGACTGCAGTGTGTAAGCACATCACTAGATTACGGGTGTCCAGTTCTCACCACATAGGCAGTGTTCTCAAGTTCTTCGTCAAAGGGTCAGACTTGTAAATTGTAATTCCTGTTTTAAAGAAATTCCTCATAAGAAAACTAGTTCATCAGAACACACACAAAAATTGCAACACAGTCTGCATTGATCTTATTCACCTGCAGCCGCATTAGTTCTTCAGAAGTTCTCTAGCTAATTCTTAGTTCTTGCTCGCTCTTCTCAGGCGACCTTGCGACTAGAACTACTTCATCAGAGGACGTATGAGAGCTGACATCATATTTTTAGGAAAATCCATTCATCAAAACATTCCAATCTAGCGGAAACCTGGCGGCGACATGGGGCTCCGCAGATAAGAAAGCCTCTTTCGGCGTCCACAGCACTAAAGCCGAGCCGCCACGGGGGTAGAAAATCTGCTGGACCCGACCGATCGGCTTGTCGTCAGGTAACTCATACCAGCCACAACACTTGAGATGATGCTGTCTCACAACTTGCGTCAGTTTTGCTTTTGCTTGCTTGCCACATCATCAAAATAAACTGTTTTTTATGCCTAGGATGACCATGTGCACCTCCGTCGTGTCACAATCAGCAATAACTGGTCTCAAGTATTTATTGCGGACTGTATTTATGACGGCCTTCAAAGGTAGAACCCTCCCTTCGACTTACATAACCTGGTGATGGTTTCAGGACTACCAATGGTCATGAGCCAGTCAGTCGGGTTACACACTTATTCTGAAACAAATGCTCCGAGTCCGATGACACTAACTGAACCGTTGCCTGTGGTGTACGCTTATTCATGTCAGAGAACGGCAGCATATTATTTTTGCGTAACATATTTAGAGAATGTATGAAATTGGTTATCAATGAACAACATCCCAAGGCTTCCGTTACGGCTCTAACCGCATTTAAAAGAGCATATCTACTTGTGCCACACCTCATCAGCCTCAGGTGCTGTTTTCATCACCCCTTTCCCCTCAGCCATCCACCGCCGGCATCCGCCGAAAGAGGGGGGAGGGGGGGGGGGGGTCAGAGATGGGCGGCGTCCACACTAAACATCTAGACACTTCCACCGCAGGGCTACCCCGAAAGCCACACCACACCATCACCCTTCATTGATCGCTAGACCACACGCCCGCCGTGGCCCCGCGCTGGTCGGGCCCCTGCACCCACCACCCTGGGCTACAGGCGCCACAGGAAGGGCTCACCGTGGGCCGAAAGCTCGGGCCCACAGGACCACCGTCGGTTGGGCGCGAGCCGGCCGGGCCCGGCCCGACCGTCGCACTGGGAGCCCTTGAGCGTCCCAACTGGAGTCGACCCATCCCGGCAGCCTCTGCCTGCCATCGTGTTACCGCCGTGGTCACGTGACGCCAGGGAGGCCGCCGTGTCCGGGGTGCATGGCAAGACGGCAGGTGACGATGCCCCAAGGGAATGCGTGGCGCTGGATCAGACCACTGTGCGCCCATATATATATATATATATATATATATAATATATATATATATATATATATATACAAAAAAGTCATTCAGTTCGGTCCAGCTGGCAAAAACTTACATTTTGCAACGAGACGATCAGGCTGTATTGGGACCTGCCTCATTTTGGAAAAAAAGTTAAATGTCGCCACCACCACCCACAAATACGCGTTGCGGGAGGGCTGCCACCGTCCAGAACACACAGTTTTATAACAGGCATCCCTACCTTTGATTTTTAACGAGCATAATAAACCAAACAACCACACTCACCACACACACACCACACACAAAGCAAACACACACACCACACACACACACACACACACCCACCCCCCACAACACACCACACACACACACACACACACACACACACACACACACACACACACGCACACACACACACACACACACATATATATATATAAATATATATATATATATATATATATATATATATATATATATATATTACCTGTAACGGAAACTGTATTGGTTGACATTATTGTCAGCGTTGGGCATGCCCTACACATTACATCCCCAAATCAGTTCTCTTACCTCCAACTTGAGTCCAAGATTTACAAAGCTAATTCAACAACTCGCTCCGGGAGATCACGTGATTCTTCTGTGTCAGCCGTTGGCAATCCGCGCCGACAGCTCATAACGAGCAAGAATGACGCGGGGCAGCTGTGTCGTGATATTACAAACAAACTCACATATTTAGGGACAAACTGTCCGTTTCTTAAGTTCGCTCAACTGAAATGGTGGGGGTCAAGTCTCCACAAGAAGCCATGCTTAGTCACGACTCCAATGCAGGCCATAAGCTCGCAGCGGGTTCTGCACAGCTTATCCTTGGAAACCCCTAGACCATTTTGAATCACTACTCTACCTGGCCCATATTAAATTTTCCGTTGGGTGAGTCGGAATCGCGGCTTGCCGCAAAGGGAGAGCGACACACACGCATCATCACCGCCGTTTTACACTAAATCCCGGATCAGAGCCGGATACTAACCACCCCGCTGACAGGCACGCTCTGCTGTCAGTCACGACCATTAGCAAGCCATCATCACGACCATCCAAAACCACCGCTGCGCATTCGTTCGTGATGGCTGCGGCGAATTAAGGCCATCAGGCTGATGTTAAAATAAATCCTGTCCATGCTGTTGTTAAAACAATAAGACTGTCCACTAGCAAATAAAAACCTTTATTCAGTTATCATACCGCTCAATAGGGCTTTGTTGACCCACAAGTAAGAGCATGATTTATCGTGATAAACACGGTCCGGATAGAGGACTCAATTTATACACGAGTGCTAATGAAACGTGGTCCGTGCGGTCATTCTGGTCCGCCGAATTAAATGAAACGGCTCCAATCTCACCAGATAGCTGACTGGCAGCCCGATATCCCGCCCAATACTTGAACCCTGAGTTGGCAATAAATCGGACCGGCAGCAAACCACTCGGGAGCCGCCGGAATAATCCAAAAGAGCCGCGCCAGACGCGAACACTCCAGGTTCCCTCCTAAGTTTACTCCGCCCACACAAGGTCACGTCCCCATCTCGGTCACCCCAGCGTCCGGGGGCGGCACCGGCGGGCCCGGGCGGGCGCTGGGGGGGGGGGGGGGGAGGGGGAGCGTCTCCCAGGCTGACGCGGCCCGAATCCGGGCGGCCGCCGGGGCGCACCGCCGGCCACCGTACGCCGCGGCGCAGCGTGCGCGGCCCGGCCGGGCGGCGGCCGCACGCCAGCGGCCGCCAGCCGCGGCGTGCGACGGCCGAGCGTACTCACACGGCGGCATGCAGCGGCGAGAACGGGCAGCCGCGCAGCGTGCGCGACTCGCTGTACTGCAGCAGCAGCTCCGCGCACGCCTCGTGACCTGGGGGCGGAGGCGCAGCCACTGTCGGCACGGTCGCCGCCGACGGCACGGACAGGTCATTACGTCAGACGGAAGCATGCCATGTCTCACCGGAGCTCGGCGCGCCCGTCCTGTGCACTGACCCAGCTCGTTTAGCGCTGATTAGCCTTAGGGGTCACACGTGCCCGGCGCCGCGTAAAAGTCACGCCGAGCTGAGTGCAGGCCTGGACAATGTCGTGGCAGCTTCCGGACGCACCGCAGCAGCTGCCTCGGGGGAACAGGCTCGTTGCTGATCCAGTGGAGCAGACGCAGCCCGAAGGAAGGCCCCGGACGCACCGTTCCCGTGGGTCCAGTGGGGCGGACGCATCGTACCGGGCCCAGTGGAGCGAACCTACCGCTGAGACTTGACTTACTCCTGCGGCGTGGTTTGCTTGTGCGACCCTGTGTGCTAGCGTGCGTGTGTGCTGCCAGATTTTGGCTTTCATCGTTGTTTGCCTCACATGTTCTATTCAGCATATTATCTTTACGCTGTCAAGCAGTTTGAAACAGCCATCGCTTTATGGATGAGTCGTGCGAATAAATATCAAACGGGAAATGGCTGTAGCATGCCAAATGGAGCGAGCGTATCGCCGCACTATGCTCGGTGGAGCGGACGGCATGCTGTAGCAGACCCAGCAGATCTAACGCATCGCTGTAGCAGATCCAGCAGATCTAACACACCGCTGTAGCAGACCCAGCAGACCTGACGTGCCGTTCTAGCAAGCCCAGTGGACCTGACGTGCCGTTCTAACAGGCCCAGCGGACCTGACGTGCCGTTCTAGCAGGCCCAGCGGACCTGACATACCGTTGTAGCAGGCCCAGTGGAGCGGAGTGCAGCCCTGCTCGTCCAGCAGGTCGTCGACGCGGCCGCGGCCGACCGCCTGCAGCAGGGAGCCCAGGACGAGCACGTGGCCGGCGGCCGCCGCCAGGTGCACGGCCGTCTTCCCTGCAGGAGGTGGACGCCGTCAGCGCTGTGGCCCGCGACCGCTCACCAGGACGGGCGCGGAAGCGAGCGGTGGGGGTGACCGCTGTTCGACACGGGCCGACGCCGGCGGTTCCGGCACAGGGCACTCGGCGCTACGTCACTGGCAGACGCCGGAGACCCCGCCCTGCCCGACAAGACTGCGCGGGACGAGACGCCTCACAAGACGGCTAGACGGAGAACGGTTCGGGCGGGAGGCCGGGGATGGGGGGGGGGGGGGATAACCTCGCCCGCGTGCGTACCGCTCAGCGGGTGACACTCGCAAAGCCGAGCAATCCCGGCCGCCGCACTGCTGACACGAATAATCCCGCATTAGTCGAGACGTGGCTTGTTATGCCTCGCGTCCCCGGACAGCCGGGGCGCAGCTTAATTAAAGCGCCGCGCTGCCCTGCCCGCCGCCGTTAGCGCCGGCCACAGGCACACGTGTCCACCATTTCCTGCCGGCGCCGCATCCGCCGACAGGGCCATTTTCCGCACCGTTGGCCGGCCACGCGTCCACAGATTGACCATCCGCCCAGTACACATGGCGCGGCTGAGACGTGGCGACACAATGCAGCCAACGTCCGAGCCTCCTTGGGCAGTGGGTAGCTGACGTCCGAGCACCCTTGCGCAGTGGGTAGCTGACGTCCGAGCACCCTTGGGCAGTGGGTAGCTGACGTCCGAGCCTCCTTGGGCAGTGGGTAGCGACGGCGGTACATGAGGGTGATGGCCGATGACGACAAATATCGATAAAGCAGAGCGGGGCTCCCATAGATAGGTCAGACCATGCAATACAATGCCACAAACGTAATCGGCGACCCACCATGGCAGTCATATGCCAGCCGACTGGCCGGCCTCCCTCTCACAACCGCCTGACGCATGGCTTGTGCGGAGGCACTTCTCGCGCCGGCAGCCGCGATCCCACAGGTTCCAGGCCTCTCGGCGTCACCATCAACGTCCCTGTCTGCACGTGAGCTTCGCTTTTACAATAGACGTAATCACATCAGCTGTTTGCTCCAGTGACGCTGGGACCGGCGTCCCCGGATGGAGTGGAGTGAAGACCAGAGTAGAGAAGAAAAAGAAACCGAAGGCACGAAAACGCGGAGCAATTTTGATCGGTGAAAAAGCGTAAGCCGCATCAGAGCAGCGGCAGAAGAAGAGTTCATCTTCGACCAGAATGTATCTTTCATTACAACGACGAGTTGCAAACGAAATGGACGTAGTGGTTCATAATGAGACGGATGACGTGCTGAATAATAACGCAGATTGTGTTCTGGAGAACATAACCAATACTGTCAACCACGCAGTCAGTTTTCAACGCAGTTGAAAAATATCAAGCGAACTTTCCTTTGCTCGCTTGAAGAAAGACAGACCACTGGCTTTATGGCTTATAACATAACAAAAATCGTCAACGGTGAATTCAACCCTGTGCCACCCATGCGGGGGGGGGGGGGAGCGGGGGGGGGGGGCAGGATTCATAGATCGCAACCAAGAATAATGTCCCACGTTTTTAGAGGCCTAAAGAAGACAAGTGTCGTTTTTTAAAGATTAGATGGGAAGTTGATATCTGGCTTGGATCACCATGAGAAAAAAGCACGGCTCGAAGCCTCCCATAAATCTGAATTTTCTTACAGCCGCTGCACTTGGCTTGGTGCTGCACACGTCAAAGACAGATGTAGCGATAATCACAAACACACATCCAGGCAAGACCTTCCACGGTGATCAAATTTTCCAAGCCGGATATGAATCATTACAAGACAAAAACTTCTTGGTGGTCAACAAAAGTAAGGGTGGAGGAGTCACCATATACGTGAAAAATAGCTTGCCATACACAGAGCCCAAAATTACGGGGTGTCCCGAAATTGACGCGCGGTTGACGCGAAATTGACGCGCCGGCGCATAGACAACGCTCTCCCAGTGACCTGACCTGCCTGCTCTGCCCGCCGCAGGCCCCAGTCTCGGGTAAGTGATCTGACAAAGTCACTGTAAGGCAGCTATTGATGCATTCGTAATATACCCGGCACCGAACCTCGCGGCCGAAGGACACAATACACTTGACAAAGAACAAGCTTTACAGCCGCAGGATGCCAAGCGGGGAGGGCATCACCGGCAAGATAATCCCTAGCCACGGACGCCTAAGGTCATTGTTGGCTCCCCTAGGTGCGACGCGTAGACCGAGCTTGGACACTAGTAGACGCTAGGTGTGACGGTGGGTGCCAGCCGCAGCCCCATATTCGGGAGTCCACGCTGGTCGAATCGGGCCCTTCCTACGGGCACTCCGCGTGGGTGGCGTACCCCGCTGCCCATTCGATCCAGCCCCAGAGCGTCGGCGATTGGTGAGACGGGAGACGCCGAGGAGGCGACAGAGCCTGGACTGACAGCGGACGGGAAGCGCGACTGAGACTGAAACAGGACAACATGGCCTCCAACGGCTGGACTGACAGCGGACGGGAAGCGCACCTGAGATTGACACAGGACAACATGGCGGCGCGATGGCACGCTCCGGGCCGGCGCTGGCAAACGGACTGCGCGTGTTTTCGTAGACACTGAGTTGGTTTCAGGAGCTTGCACGTGTTTTCGTAAACATTCAGTTAGTTTTAGGAACTTCCACGTCTTTTTGTAAACACTGAGCTGTTTCAGGGACCCGCACGCGTTTTCGTAAATCCTGAGTTAGTTTCATGAACGTGCACGCGTTTCGTAAGCACTGAGTTGGTTTAAGGAACTGATTCGGGTACATCAAGGTGGCAGAAGTCTAATGGCAGTGGCCTTTTTCTGGAAAGCGGCTTCACCCGCAGGACATAACATTCCAAAATGCGGGGTGATGCCACGCACCACACTGCATGAGATCGGACCACATCATCACATGTCGTTATACAACATCAGACGTTGAGTACGCTGGCTAAGTCACTTTCTCCTCTCAAATTGGCGACAAAGTTTCGACGAGAACGATTAATTTAAGCGGTGCATAATGAAGTATTGACCAATAACCTTGATTAAGCACTCGTCTGCATTCGTGGCCGGGACAGTTTGCATAAGACTGCGTTTGTTTCGGGAAGGAAGCCCGTACAATCCCTTTTATCCTGATCTTCATTATAGTTATGGCCGTTTTTCGACCCGCCTGCCACCGTCGCTAATCCACTTTTCTGGGGGGATGGCGACGTGCCAATCGGCCAGAAAGCAAACGCTAATGCCACCAGCCGTGACAAGTCTGCAAAAGAGCACCGGCCGCGTTCATCATCGGGATGCGGGCCGGCGCCGGCACTGACGAGGCGCTAACTGCGTTTGGCTGGTGGCGGCGGCCCTGACGGCGCCGGTGCGGCCCGTCGGGGCAGCGCGCCCCTCCCGGCCGCCGGGGGCGAGGGGGGAGGGGCAGCAGTTCCAAGCGCGCTGTCAGGACGGACCGCCGGCCGGGGAGGGGGGGGGGGGAGGGGGGTCAGTAAGCCAGACGGTGCGGCTGAGGGACGACGGCGGGGGACCCTGAGCGCTGGTGACTCGGAGAATCGGCCGGCTCGCTCTGAAGCCGGCTCGACAGCGCGGCCGCCGCTCGTTCGTCGCAGATGAAAAACGCTATGGTTGCGAAGCGAATCTAGGGTTGAAAACTCAGCTAGCCGAACATCAGGGCGTGAAAACATGTTAATTTCGGCCAAATGGTGGTGACAGGGAGACATGACAAGTTGTGCACAACAGCAATCCAGCAATGAAAAATGGTAATGATAGAGTAGGCTCTCTGCAAGTAAAAGAATTGTACTGTTGCTCAAGGAATAAAACGCCTGGATCGCTGTCAGCAAGAACTGATGCCGCATATTTCCTCACATTCTTGATTCCATCAGATTCCAATAGGAATTTTTGATCCAATTTTTAACGCATTCCAAACGGATTGCACAGATGCAGCGTTATCGATACCGTTAAAGACAGTGCGGTTCTCTACGGCGTTGTAAGTATTTACGACATCAACTCGTGCACTGCAAAACTTATTGGCGTTGTCACGATGCCGTGAACATGCGACGAGTGAAATGGTCCCGAGATGAGCATTGAGTCTACAGTTACATCCAGCGAATGCCTGCGCGAGCCTGTCGGTCGAGTAGTACCGCGTCCCAAAAATGGAGCAGCAAAACGGAGCTGAATAACGTTTCTTACAACACCGTCGGATAGTGTGTCGCGCATTTCACCACCCACTGACTTGCTGGATAACCCTGCGCTCGAGACTCAATTGGCCGGTCGCCGAGTGCCGGTATTACGGCGCGCACCTCAACGGACACTTCAAACGTTAGATGCGCCGGCGCACGCTGTGTCAATAATGTGTTCCGAGCATGCCGCCGGCAAGCTCGGCAGTGCTCTTCAATCGCACGGCGGTGCAGATTGGTAGCGGCCAAACCCCGCAGTGCTGTCGGCTCAAATCAAACAGCAATCTCCGACTTCATTAGGCGCCTGTTTACCAACGCATCCAACCGAATTGAGCTCAATGTGATGTTTGCTATGCACAATCATCCCGCTGCTGAGCCCGTGCGCTGAGTGCGGGCTCCGACTCGGGTACATTAAGCGGTGTAACTACTCCATCCGGCTCCTTCTTCTCGGCCCCTCAGTTACGCGTGACCGCCTCCGGCCCCTGACAACACGTCACGTGACGTGACGCTGAAGATGGGAAGCGCTACGTGCCTGCTGCAGTCGCCTTGCCTTGCGTGCCATTTGGGCATCTTTCAGAACATCTTGACATAAGTTTAACTGGGCTTCGGAAATGTCGGATAAGCCGTCTGATAATGCGTTATTCTTCAAAAACAAGCCAACGCGTGCTAAAAAAATATGCAGTAAACGGGGTTCATTCTGGCTTGTTGTAGTGTCAAGACCAAAACTGAGCGCGCCCCGGTAACGTAACTAGCGCTGCTTTGTTGTACCTATTCTTCTCAGCTTAGCTACCATGATTCCGACTGTCACCTTCGGCTCTGTGAACTTCTGGCAGCCGTTTGCCGACAATCTAGTTCCCCGGCCGACAAAGACGTCGTTGAAACAGTTCAACGACTGAAACGCAATTAATTTTCGACTGCTACGGGTCACTGTAACGGCCAGCGCACCGGAATCCGGGCGGCAACACGGCTCATGTGGGGATCCCCGCACCACACGGCACGTGGCGCGTGCTCCCAGTGCCGTGGCGTCGCGTGACGCAACAGCGCGGTGCAGACCCGTGGCGAATTCGGAGCGTCGATTCAGCCGCGGCGCGGTACAACGCCGCCGCCATTCGGCTGAAGTGGGCGCGCTAATTTGGAAACTGGCCCAATGAAATCACACCGCCGACGGCCGCACACGGCGCCACCCGGCAGCCAATTAAATCACCGGACCTAATCACAGTCAGCACGGCCGGCGAACGCGGGGCGGGCTCAGCCGACCGAGCCGTCATCAGTGTGACGAGGCGCCGCACCCGCGTCCATCCGGCACCGTGCTCACGTCCGTCCGGCGCCGCGGCCACGTCCATCCGGCAGCGCGCCCACGTCCGTCCGGCGCCGCGGCCACGTCCATCCGGCAGCGCGCCCACGTCCGTCCGGCACAGAGCCCACATCCGTCCGGTGCCGCGCCCGCGTCCGACCGGCGCCCGCGTCCATCCGGCACCGCGCCCACATCTGTCCGGCGCAGGGCCCACGTCCGTCCGGCGCAGAGCCCACATCCGTCCGGTGCCGCGCCCACGTCCGTCCGGCGTCGCGGCCACGTCCATCCAGCAGCGCATCCACGTCCGTCCGGCGCAGGGCCCACGTCCGTCCGGTGCCGCGCCCGCATTCGGCCGGCGCCCGCGTCCATCCGGCACCGCGCCCACGTCTGTCCCGCGCAGGGCCCACGTCCGTCCGGCATCGGTGTGTTCGGCGGCGTGGCGCACAACTGCCCGCCTCGCGTCCTTTGATAATTTCGGCGGCGAAGCGGTGCCAGTGACTAGATACTGCAGGCGGCGAAGAAGTAACGTTGGCCAAAATCTCCAGCACCAATTCCGGCCACTCGCAGCGGACCAGTTGGTGTCAAGAGCAACCCACCGACGACCTGCTGGGCTCATCTGACTTCTTAACGAACCCAATCGAGGTGGCTAATCGCTGAACTGTGAACAACGCTTTAACTGCAGGCCATGACTTTACGTTGATCAATTTTTTTTTGGGGGGGGAGGCTGCATAAGACTCCAGACACAACAGCAGTTCTTGGTGTACACGTGTATCGTACATTAAATCACGACTATGGTGATAGTACCTGATGTCTAGGGCCATCGGGGCATCAACAGATAGGCCTAATCGTGCCTTATATCTGGTTTGAAGTTTGCACTGGCCGCCTGCGTATGCGTCAGCAATTCGTAAACAACCTACGACAGGCAACGTCAGCGGCCCTTCGTTCTTTGTTGCTACCTACGTCTGTCTTGCAGATCATCGAAGTCTAATTTGCGCTCGCTCCGATAACAAGACGTGTCGCCACAGCTTTCAGCCGGCGGCACCCAGGAGCTGTTTCGATCCAGCTCAGAAAAGCACCCACAATTCACTGAGCGTGCAAAGGGCCCAATTCCATCTCTTGACGAATTCCACCTCTGGAAGGGAAATCAGCCAGGTACTCCGCGTTCCCAGCCGCTTCCACAGAAGCCCCACAACACCATACAGACCCACGTAGCCCACACCTATGAACAGGAGATCCCGTCCAACAACAGCACGCCCGCCCGCGCACGCGCAGCCACCAGCCGCCACCATCGCGGCAGCGCGGTCGCCACTGTAGGCAGTGGTAGCGGCGGTGGTTTGATGTTTAAGGGTTCGTCGGCATCGAGGCGATTTTACACACCGGAAAACGATCCTCCATACCTGAAGTGTCATGCTGTAAGTGTGCTGTCAACTGTTATTAAGCGGTTACACTAGTGCACTCAGACAGTGGGTCGAGTGTAAATCATGGCGTAGTCAATCTGTGCTCAAAATCAGAGCATATTCGCCATGTCGCAAAATGGGTCTCGACAGAGACGTAACTTTCGAACCCGCCAGCCCACCCACGTCTGACCCGAAGGAATCTGCGGGCTTTTGGCCGGGTCGTGGGCTAAACTTGTCGGGCTTTTACGGATCATAAATTTTAACCAGCAGTGATGTATGTTCTGCTACTGGTTAACACTTGATGTGTGCCCGAAAGGCGCTATATGAGATGTTATGCTGATATAGATATGAGTTGCCCCACATTTCTTTTCGTACACATTTTGCTTCCACATGTAACCATATACAATACAGGTTGTTGTGGCATTGCTGACTGTATATCACGCCGATTGACTGGCAAGGATTCTTGGACAAAACGATATTGTTAGCCTTGATTGTACGCATCACAAACGGCGCGGTGACGGGTGTAGTGCATTGAAACATATTGTGCTAAGAGAGGAAACGAGGGCTATTTCAAAGCTACCATGCAGTGTTTATTCTGTGTTGTTACGTGATGAAACAACTTAAAGGCCTCAACAACATCATATACAAACTACGTTCGGTTCTTGAACACGGGCTGTGACACTGCGGTGATTGTGACGCATTTGAATGGCGCTTGTGCCCGTGTGCGGTGTAATGAACTGAGGAGATTTCCCATTGCTTGAACAATCCATCATTTTTACCCCGTCAGTGCTAAGCCATCAGTTGATGCGTGTCATTGTAGAAGACATCCTATAGTTTATTGTGCTGAGGGAAAATATGTTAAAAGTGATGTTAGCCAAATGCAATGACGTTGTATGCACACTGTACGCGCAAGTCTAAATTTAACGAGAAATGACAGAATGCCGATTGAAACCAACTAGCACTCGAGCTTTAATGCCGGGTCAGCATCCTACCACAGCGGGCGTCTGCGGGCTGGATCTCCAGCTGGCCGGGACGGGCCGGGCTGCAGCTGACATGTTGGAAAAAAGTTGCGTCTCTCGTCTCGACCAACCAGCCGATGCCGTGACGCTGACGAAAAATACCGCCTATCCGATCCATGTCGTCGGCACGATATATCAACACGCTCTACAGACAACGGGTCCTTCCGACTGCCACACTGCGACACATCCCGACGCGTCAATTTAAACGAGTACGTCACGCACGCATCACCTAACCGAAGCCCTTGACGCGCGCCGCCCCGCTTGCACGGAGGCAGCGGCGGAGGTCCGCCGGTGGCGGCCGGACTCACTTACCCAGGACGTCGCGCGCCAGCGGGTCACAGTCGGTGCAGCTCAGCAGTGCGTCCACGCTCTCCTCCGCGCCGCTCGCAGCCTGTAACAGCGCAGACGAGCGTCACGCGAGCGCAACGAACGCCGCGCCGCGCCCCGGGCACCTCCACGTCGCGGGAGGTTCGCACCGGCGTTTGGAGCGTGTCTGAGGACGTGCGGGTGTGGAGCGCACGGCTCTCGCCGTGCGTGACGCGTGGTGGGGCAGTTTGAAGGACCGTCTCGAGAGCGAGAGGTCGCGCAGTCCAAGGACCACCACGGCCAGTTGTGTCCCGCTCAATACCCTCAACATCTGCCCACAGCGCACAACGCTTTAGTTCCTAACTAAAACATTTCACGACGGCAGTGCAAACTGGGAGCGAGGCGTCCGAGTGAGCAGCCTCTGGGCGCCGGCGACTTAGAGCGCGCGCGACGAGGCGTTGTCCAAATCAACATCGCTTATTCTTTACCGCTCCCGGCGAGCGTGCTACTTAAGTTTCTCGTCGCCTGCGCAACCAATGCAAAGTGGACCGGCCGGCTTTATTAGAGTTAAAGTCGAGGTCTCTTGTCGGGTCTGAACTACCCTAAGTGGGAACAAGTGTTCATACGGCAAATTTCAATCTGACGTCAAACTCAGGTCGGACAGAGCGAACTGGCAGAGCCATTGGTCGGACGATTTCGAAATCTCGTGGGGAGTTGTACCTGGCACAATCGCCCGCGTCCTGCAGTTAGTCCTAAGTATTCATCTGCTTTGGATGCCGATTGCGGATCCATGATCCTAAACACGATAGCTAGTGCAACTCGCACCGCATCGATCCACACTTAATCCGGCACGATTTTCCGTTTTCTCCCCGTTAATCTCGCATTTTTGCGACGCCGAATCGTCAGGACCTTTTACAAACGCTTAGACCAACACTCTCAGTTTTTTTTTTTTGTCTTTTTTTTGCTGCTGGCAATTTTAAACTGTTTCATGCGCTATGCTACCCAAATGGGAGATGACGTCATGGCGACATCGCTATGTTCAGTAAAACAAAACCTACACGATAATATACACGGTATTTTACACGTTGACACGGCAATTTATAACATTCAACATAGAATCAATTGTAAAGAGTAGCGCTAGTTGCTGAAAACATGTGAAACTGCGACCAGTGGTTGCGAAAATATTACCTTCTTCACAATCCAATGGCCGAGCCGGGCACAATTTCAAAATTTCCCCGCAATTCAAGAACTCACTCGGTCTCTCACGTCGCTTGCAAAAGCATGGCATTCATTTGCTTTGAACCTTCCGCAAGAATTCTGAAGACAGAAGTCGATTACGAAAATTACAGTCTTCTAGCAGAGCGAGTGTACCTTAGGAAACCATCCCAAACCCCTCGAAAGTGGCTAAACGGGTCTGTCTTCGGGGGATTATAGCGAAAGCCAATAACAGAACAGGTGCCTGAAATGCTCCAACAATTTGCTGCGATGCCTGCCGGCCGGGCTTTGACGCAGGTCCGAGATTGAATTTGAGCCGCGCACTGAGACGTTGGCCTACGAGGATTCCGCTGGTTTGCAACACAATGATTAAGCGTTCTCGTCGAAGACTTATTCCCCATGCGATCGCAGCTCAGAAAGTGATTCCCCGCCTGGTGAGTACACGTCGACGATGCGGAAAACGCCGCTAGCGGCGTTCAAACTATGCTCGCCGTCTGCGGACGACGTTGTGAGGCGTTCTCACACCTCACTGTCCCACATTGCAGGCGTCAATCTCTGACGTCAAGACAATGGCGCAATCTCACTCTCCGCTCATGCTTTCCACTGTCTCAGCCGGACACCAGTGGCCTGTCAGCTATACTTGCGTCACGCCGTCTCGCGAGCCGTCACGCATCACTAGTTGACCCGTTCAATCCCACACCAACGCCGCGTCACGTCACCACGAAGGCAAACGCAAAACGTGCACAAACACGCACTAACACAAACAAACGCGAACAGTAACACGCGCCAGTCATACCAGAACCCGCATGAACCTTTTTTTGGCGCAGTCAGCAAAAACGCCAACCACATGTATTGGAGACGCTCACACCCGTCTGAGCAATTGGATCCGCCTTGTTCCATTCCGAGATTACAAAGGGAGGTTTAGGACAGTCGTAGCAATGGAATAACTTTTTAGTATTGATGAAGCCACAAACGTATCCCAGATGTGTTCACGACATGCTTCCCTATAAATTGAGCTGAAGCATCGTGACAAGGCACTTTGCAAGTATGACAAGACGACTGACGAGATGGCGAACACCTGATTTCAACCGCACGTCTCGCTCGGTTTTGACAACCCCACGATAATGCACCACATGACCGTATGCACGCAATGATCCTCCTATGCATTAGTGAGCAGCACAAACCAGCCAACAACATCCATAATGCTTCCACAAAGCGAGTAAATCCATATCTGGCATGTCTCCTGCCAGGCTTACAACATATCGGCTGAGATAATTAAGAAGACCGGCTGGCGCTGAGTTGGCACGAGGCAGCAGCACCACTCAAACTTTGGCACCGTTCGAGTCGAGGGCGCCTGTCTCAACTGGATAGCATTGATCGTGCGCGGCCGCGGCCATCACCGTTTGGCACCGGACCCGCCGGTGGCCTCCGTGGCGGCCCGCCGGCGAAGAGGCGGCACACAGCCACCCGCCAATTTCGATCAGCGCTTATGGGCTCCGGCCGTGCGAAAGGTCTGCCTTTGTCACCCCAGCCAGAGATGAACCTCAGCGCTTATGGGCTCGGGCCGTGCGAAAGGTCTGCCTTTGTCACCCCAACCAGAGATGAATCTCAGCGCTTATGGGCTCGGGCCGTGCGAAAGGAGACGAACCGGCAGTACATCCAAGGTGGCTGGTAAGAGACTAAACGCTGCTGCCAACAGCACTAGAGAAAGAAATTACACATTGGCCGTGTGCGCAGTTGCATATTTCCTCGACGAATTGGAAGTGGGTTTGAAATCTATTTGAATACATGCGATTATTTCGCGGTCACTCCACTTTTTGAGCCCAGAATCAGAAGTAAGTACGCGTCATGGAAGCAAAAAGATGAACATACATTCGCTTCATCAATGCCGTTTGAAAGAAAGAGCGTGCAAACCTATTCAAATGCAGTCCAAACCGCCTTACAACTGACCGTGAGCAACATGAAACACCACACAATCTGACCAATGTGAAAAATAGCATTAAATATATCAACGTCCTTTCGATGTTGCCTTAACAACAATGAAGGAGTCAGCAGCCCATACCACGGTCCAATATTCATAGCCCCTCGTGCTGAGGAGTTGACGGAATATTTTCAGCAGCATTTGGGTTCATCAACCCTCTTTCAGAAGAATAAAGACACAGTTTTTACAAATGCAATCAAAATCAATTCTACCATTTCTCCATGCAATAACCGATAGACCGCATGCCACGAAGCACACGGAACGAATGCCAAAACACTGCTCGGAGGAGTATAGCGATATCCTCATAAAACTAATACCGACAAGACGTCTCGAGCGCCGTTGAAAGTACGGGGTAATGACATACCTGATGGCTGTGATCATACGCGCGATACGAAGATCTTGCGAAAGTAGCCAGATGTTCTCGGGGGAACCCCATACAAAGGAATCTTATCAGAATCTTATTGGAATGACCGTCTTTTATGGGTGTTTCGAAGACTAAGATGTTCGTTAGGTCGTTAGTTTGCACTGATCCACGAAGCACATCGGGTACTTTCCAGCTACCTGGCTGAAGGCATGTCCTGCCTTGGCGTTTCAGAAGGCGAAGTCGTTGACGAACGACCTGTTTAGAAAAAGCGATACTGCCCACTTTCCGGTCGATCGCTGGAGTTGTCAGCAGGCGCTGTGTCGATATATACAGGCGTTGTGTCGTTACAGCGTGCGGCTGGTTTCGCGCCTCTCTCAGGTCTTCCTGCAACTACACTCTGACGTGAGACCTTGACATCATCTCAAAGCGGGATGACCCCTGGCTCGCGCATGGCGCACGCGCCCAGCTGCCCACTTGAGTGTCCGTTCTTTCTCTCGCCGGTGTTATCATCACGCCGCAGTGGGGCTGCGGCGCCGGTAGTTAAGCCGGTTTCGGCCCGTGCTGTGCATTTTTCCTTATTGGCTTATGTCATTTTTCCTCCGTTAACGAACTGGGGTGAGGGGGAAGGGGGAGGGGCCAAATGTTGTTCATACTGCGATGATGCAAAAACTAACCCTTGATCATAGACCGCATGTCATACGTTGCAAACTATGCCTTGGCTGAAAAAGAACAACTTGAAAGAAAGCGACACAGCCCAGTGAGCAGTTTTTGGTTGTTCAATTGAGCTGAAGTTGAGAATTCCTTACCATAAATTTCCTCACACTACCTCGACCTACGGTCTTACCCGAGACAATTATCTGTTTTATAAAATGGGAGAAGTGATCATTACGCATTGCACGTATGTGTTTTTTGCATCACACGTTCACAAGCTTCGTCTGCTACTTCCTTCACCGATCCATAGCTCGCAAAATCAGGCCGCATTTAAGGTCCGAAAAAATGCTTGGTTCAATGGAACATAGCCATGAAGCGTTGGGAGTGGACAATGCTTCCTCAAGGGTCCTCATAACACCATTCAGCCCTGTTTGCTACGTGTTTTTGAATACTTCCCCATCTTATATCACCAACTCAGGACGTGTGACATGTGGTCAGCCTCGTGCATTACAGAGCCACGTGCGAGATTGATTCCAGATGTAAAGCGATGCGTCACGGTTTGAAGACCAGCCGCTGGCCACGCTCCACCAAGCTTTCCCTTTTGTCTCTTGCCAGGCCACAGCTCGATGTTAAACCATTTGTATACCTGATCCACCACATGCGTGCTAATGGCATAGCAGGCCAGCCAGCTAGTGGTTCACGAATACACATTAGTAATATAAACACTATGATTAAATAATAAATAATAGTTTATCAAATGCGGCATGATGCCATTTGGGCGCGCCACACAGTTAGCCGCACCACTCAACTTAAATGGCGTCGCAGAATTTGTAGACCACGAGAAAGGCTGTCATCGCTCTATAAAATTCGTTCT